GGGTGGAGGGTGTGAAGGGAGGGCTAGGAATGGGGAAAAAATAAGAACCAAGATGCATTATATAAAGGTACAATTCCCAATGAGAAATTTAATTGTGTTGTATACCTACAATGTACCAATAAAAGAATTTAATACAAAAACAAAAACAAAAAAGAACTGTGGGCTAATAAAAAGTGTTAAATTCATAACAGATAGAACAAATTTGAGGTTATGACTACTACTTACATGATCCGTTGTGTTTCTGAAGAGAAGTCAACATATCGTCCAAAAATGAATTTAAGGTCCTAAAATTTCAATAACAAAAAGATAAATAAGGAAGCTAATGGATACAAAGGTAAAACTGAAACAATTTAAAATTTTCAACTTACTTTTTCTTGAACATGCTTAGCTAAATTCTTTACATAAATTCTACAGTTGGGTTCACCAGGTTCATAACTTCTGAAAACTGAAAGTGATTCCATTTCTTAAAGATAAGACAAAACAAGGATATAAAATTAAAATACTTATACCAATTTTCAAAGAAAATTGTAATGATATTAAAATGTAACTGTTAAATAGGCAAGACAACCTTTATGAAAATGTTAAAACCCCATTAGCAATATTATGAATGGGTATATAAATCTTTAAAAATCTGAAGTGAATATAAAAAAATTTAACTTTATTGTTTCAAAAATCTCAGACATCCGGAATAAACAAATTATTTCCAATGAAGTATTTACTATTAAGGTTTCATTAAGATAAATTAGTTTATAAAAAAACTAAAACATACCCGGTATCAATGACTTACATAATTATTTTGATTAAAGTCAATTTCCCAAGTCACCAGTCACATACATAGTGAAATTAAGAATGACATACTCAAAAACAATAATCAGATATTTTAATAAATGTGGTGCTGAAGCAAGTACATAATCAGATATTTTTAGACTGATCTACTTTATGATCCTTGTTTTACTGCCAGTAAACTGTTCTTAACAATATTTTATACAACAGATATTTTATACAAAAATGCTAATTGGAAGTCTATCTCTCATTACTATGGGAAAAATTACCTCCATCAAAAACCCCTACATTTTTCTAACATGTATTAAGACAATAAAAATCCTTTAGAAATAACAAACATTATGTTTGGATATAAAATCCTAAAGTATTCATTTCTAGTCACCAATTTCTTAAAATATCACTTTGTATACATCTGAGATACAGTATTTTGATGGCCTATAAACTGTACTGTATTTGGAACATACAGACTCAAGAGTTGGAACGTATTCATTTGTTTTACAGGCCTTTTCTTTTTTTTTTCCTTCTGGTACTGGGAATTGAACTCAGGGCCTTGTGCTTGCTAGACAGGCACAGAGCCACTGAGCTAAATCCCCGCCCCTATTCATTTGTTTAATATGCCATATGAAGTTATAGAAATAAAAATAAAAAATTTTCACAAATACAGGCTGGACACACTGCATGAAAAAGACCTTTCCCCATATGAAATACGGATTTTAAAAACTGAAAGAAAAATATTTTACAGTGTGTGGCTTAAAGTACATGCCATAAACAGATGTTTTGCTTCTGTTGACTTAAAGAAATGTAAAATGGACTATGCTCTATTACCTTCTCTAGAAATTCTGCCTTTCTCCAACTCCCTTCTAGAAATACATTCTGAGGGCATTTCATCAGAATCTTCTTTAGACTCTTCTGTGATGTTCGTATTAGGTTTGGGGAAGATTTTTCCAAATCCTATATTGGATGCTTCAACTTCAATAGCAGGTAAATCTTAAGAGTTTAAAATTAACATTAGCCATTAAAAATCTCTCACTTCAAAACAGTTTTCAGGTTTCTTTCTTCCCATTTTTAATTTAAAAAATTTTAATTTCAAATTCTTTGCTGACTCTCAATGTTTTAAACAGGCACAAATAAATATTTGTTATAAAGGTCCAAATAGTAAGTATGTCAGGCTTTATAGATCACACAGTAACTATTCAATTCAGTTAACATAGCATGGAAACAGTTACAGACAATAGCAAAACAGCCAAGCAGTTCCTTTATGGTGCTATTTAGAGGATCAATAAAGAGGAAAGGAAATGAATTCAATTTCAGCATATTCTGCTTGCCAAAAAGATAAATGATGAAAATGTTTAGTGAACATATTTCACCTACTCTGATTTTTATTTATGTTTTTGAGGCATAGGCAGTTTTAGTAAACAGAGGGAATAGAAAGCCTTCAGCTTAAATAACGAGAGGAGGCACATTGACGCAGAGGTTCAAACTGTCCCCCGCCATGGAATTTTAAATACTGAATGATCAAAAAAGAAATCTGGATTTAATCAAACACCTTATGAATTAACAATGGTATTCTGCTAATGGGATATATCCTCCTAGATTACTTATATAATGGTTATAAGTTTATCTAATAGAGCTACATCAGAATGAAACAATTTGTAATCTTTTTAAAAACAATCGAAAGATTAACAACTGCATATAAACACCATAAAATATTGCATTTCCATTTGGAGATACTAAAAAAATAGGTTAATGTTCCACTCCCCCAAGAAAAAAAGATAATAGTCTTGATGCTACAAGAAAAATAAGTATTTACACATTTAAGGAACTACTCACTTAAGTAAATTCAAAAACACTTCAAATTTTTAATTTTAGATAGCAACATAATGAATTTTATTCATACATATCAGTCAGTATCAGTAAGAATTAAATTGACTTGAAGGGGAATATTTGGAAGGATAATGTTATATGTTCAGTAGAAACTTCGTAGTCATATTACCTAAACAGAAGCAAAAAAAAAAACAAGAACAAAGAGATGCTAAAGAGGCAGGTGGGAAGATGAAGCAAAGAATATGCCACAATTAGAATTGTAAAAATGTCTTCATAATGTAGAAAAGACACTGGACAAACAGAACTTTTGTGACCTAAAAACATCAATAATAATAAGCTTTAAATGCTTCCCTGTTACTTCAACATCAGTACTCTGACAGTGATGTAAAATCTGATGATTGTTCCCTCTCGTAATGGTATAAAGCCTTCTATAAATCAAACTTTAAAAAAGAATCTGTGCCCCATAAATATGAACAATTTTATGTACGAGTTATGGATAATTCATGTTATCTGAAAAAGCAATGTATTCATACTACTCATCAGAGACAAAAATTAAAACTAGTTTAATTTGCAAAACTTACTAGAATTCTATCCTATATTCACACAAGCACTCAAAGATACATAATCAAAGACGTATATCTTGCATGCTCGTGCATGTGTACACACATACCCAATTACTAATATTGGTTACCTCTATGAAATAGAAAAGAAGATAGCTGGGCCTAGTGTGTTTGCTTTTTAAAATTTTACTTTGATTCTGTTTTGATTTTATTGGTACATGTTTGCAGTACATAATGAGTACATCTGTTTTGAGGATATTGGTACATAAAACAGCTTTTTTAAAAAATTCCCTTTCCTGCCCCTCCTCCTTAAAAAGTCACGTTATTATTTCTGAAATTTAACAATAAAGATTAAAAGATCAAAGCCACTATTAATAATGGCTAACAAGCAGAAAAAATAATTGTAATTTCAATGTTATACTTAAACTTTAAGAAGAATGTATCTGATAATCTTCCATGACTTCTGGATGTGCATACTAAGAGAAATGTGTTTGTGTGTGTATGTATGAAATGTGTAACACACACGATACTCATTTTGCTTATTTACTATTAATACAATTATGCTAATAAAACCACAGAACATCACATTAATCAATGAAAAGGTAGATCAATACAAGAAACCTTTCTATTACTAGTGTGCATGTCAACAACAAAAAACCCCTAACATTACTATCAAAAAATAAGTTATAAACTCAAAGTTTACTAACATACAAAAAATCATATATAAACCTTAATTCTAACACATAAAACTGAGTAGCACAAGAAAGAATTAAAATATTCTTACCATAACATTTTTCCTCACAATTTTGTTCTTTCTGTAAATCTTTCTTAAATACATTCGGCATGTCAGTAGATATGTGGAATTCTATTCTCTTACTGCCTACAGGTTGTGGTTGGTCAAATACATCTGAAGGTAATAGCACAGGATGTAAATTGCTATTTAAAAAAAAAAAATCATGGCATGAGTTTATGATTGGAAATAGAATCTTGAAAACAGTTACAAATTTAAATTTAAAAAGCTAATACTAACTAAACATTTCCTACACTATAGGCACTGCACAAAATGACTTAGATTTGATATTTAATAAACTGTAATGAATGTGCTAATGTGAGTTGTTTGATTCCTAACTTATAGATGAGGTGACTGAAATGAAAAGACATTAATAATTTGTATAAATCACCTGAAAGGAAGGACTTGAGTACTGATTTTAAACCCCAGGATATATAGCAACATGGAAAAAAAAGCCCATCCTGTTAATGTATGTTTTTAATGCACTACATTTTCTATACTATGTGATAAACTAATAGTCACTAGCTATATGTTAGTGATTTTCTATAAGAATATAAAATACCTGAATAATTTTTATAAAGATTATAATTTTATTTTAGATAAGTTACTGATATTAATTTCATCCATTTGTTTTTACTGTTTAATGTGGCTGTTAGAAAATTTCACATGGCTAATATGTGTTTCCACTGTTAAATCTCAAATTTCCTTTCTCAATTTATAGCATTAAGTACAATTTTCAAGGGAAGCATCCCTTATAAACTGAATAAAGTTAAAGTTGCAATTAATGGTAAAAGGCAGTACGTAAGGGATATAAAAAGACAGTAATATAAAATAAATGGTAGATTTTGAGACTTGAGATACTCAGTATTATCAAATGCTGGTAAACTGTGAATTATGAATACTTTTGAATTTGGCAAATAGGAGCCCAATGATGAGTTAATAAGCTGATAATCAACATGACACACTGAGGATTAATTTGAGTTAATCAAGTACACAAAATATATACAGACAATCCTCATTCAGTAATTCTAAGGAAGATTACCTGTGTGAAGCAGATGAAGATAAATTTAACATATCTTTTATTTTTTGCTTTTTTCTCACATGGCGCTGCTTTGTAATCTTTGGTCTTTTGGGCTGCAGATTTGCTAGTTCCATTAGTTTGCTCATTCTATGTTGGGGACAGGAAGAGTAAACTAAATCTCATCTAAAAGCATGGTTATTTGACACTTTTCGTTAAGCTTACATTTTTATAAAATGTAAATAAATTATAGCATGATTTACTTATCTAATATGGACTATATATATGGAATAAGGATAACTTCTAAACCATTAATCAGATACCAAATTTGATAAAACTTCACATTCTAAATTGTTTTGCTCCATTTATATCTTTACTCTATGAGAATTAAGAAGAATTTAATAAATTACAATTCATCAATTTTTTAAAAGCCATTTTTTTACTCTAAACTTTATTAGTTACTCAAATAAAATACCTGGACTTAAAGACAAAAAACTGAAAAGGAAACATTAACATAATATCTGAACTTTACTGTTCTTTTCTTGACAAAGAGGCAAAAGACCTTACCAGGGTAGTAAAATTATTATCATCATTATTTTGGTACTGGGGTTGAACCCAGGGGCCTTACATTGAGCTACATCTCCAGCCCTCTTTTATTTCTTATTTTGAGATAGGGTTTTTCCAAGTCACTAAGCTGCCTATATTGGACTTAAACTTAGTACTGTAGCACCACGCTTGGCTAAAATTATTTGGATTCATTTTCTAATTTCTAAACAAAGCATGGACTGAAGGATTTCACTGAAAAGCATTTTGTGCATAATTCTTACAAATAAATCATTACAGAAGCAAGGTAACTTAAACTATTTGAAAACAAAGTTTTCAAATACTATACTCTGAAGTAACTCTGAAGTAAATTACACGTAAATTCAAAAAGTGATGGATGAATGCTACCTTGTATATAGAATTCTTCCATTAAGAAAATGGACAGTTAGTTTTTACCAGTTATCTGAAGTATAGGTCTACATGTACATAACTTGCTCAAAGTGTACCAAGCCTAATCAAGGGTAAATATACATTAAGTAGTCATACTTATTGGTCATAAATTAGTCATAAACATTTCCTGAATCAATTAATTTTACCAATTTTTAAAAGGTTTTGTTACATTTCTAGAAGATAAAAGGCATGCAATCAAGAGGTAGGCACATGAAAGTCTTTGTTCTCTCTCATGAAGCAAGGTGAATTACTGGCAGAATTCTATACTACATTCTTAAATGGAAACCTACATTTAAAAAATCAGAAACAAGAATTGCTTTTGGCCAGTCTACATATAGCATTTTTTACATATTATCATTTTTATTAAGAAAATAATTAATCCCATTCAACATTTTTTTTCTTTTTTCCCCCCTGCTCCCCATTCAACATTTTAATTTTTTTTTTTATTTAGCAACAAGTTAAAAGATCTATCTACCATGGGCTACCAGTTTCCCTAAATGTCTTTCAAGACAGCCATTAATTCCTATTTTGTAGTTTCATGCCCATCAACATTTTAGGCCATCCTATTGAAATAGAACATATATTAAATCATTATTTAGGGAGACTATGACTCAATAATACAAAAATTGCTGCTGACTATTTGCAGACACTGCCCAGAGTCTCTGCTTTGTTGCTGATTAATGTCAACCATTCCTTTTACATCTGACTTCTGTGTATAGTTACCTAAGATTTCCATCATTTGCTGGTATCAGTTATGTAGGCTAGGGATTGGCAAACTACAGCCCAAGGACCAAATCCAGCTAGGTGTCTGCTCTGGTAAAGTTTGGCTGGAACAGTCACACCTACACATCTAGCTATTGTCTGTGGCTTCTTTCCTACTAGAACAGTATTAACAGCTAGACGTAGTGAAACCTAAAAGCCCAGTAAACTGGAAGGCTTAGGTAATTTAGTGAGATGGTCTCAAAATACAAAGGGCAGGGACTGTAGCTCAGTACAAAGGCCTGGGTTCAAGTCCCAGTATCACCAAAAAAAAAAAAAAAAATGCCGAGTAACAGTTAAGACAAAGCAGTTAAGACAAAGATAGAAGATAATGTGGCTCACAAAGTCAAACCTATTTACTATGTACACAGAAAATGCTAGGGAATTCCTATTTTAAGCTAGGTTGTAGATTCTGTACCTGAACATTATTAACAATTTACTACTCTTTGTTAGAATCTTTCAAATAACATATTCCAGAGAAATAAGCTCTCAAAATATTCATATAATTGATGTTTATTATTTGTAGTAGTTATGTGTAATAAGGTTATCACAAATGCTACATTAGTGAATAACGAATCACTATCCCTAGGAATTCAAGTTTACATTCCTGAAAACTTCTGCTTATAACATTTCACCAAATGATCATTACATAACATGGTTTTATGTGAGTTTAAGGTCACCTAATTCATCGTTGATTCATTAATGTAGAACAGTCACCACCACAATTTTTGCCTGAAGGAAGTTTATCTAATGTATGTCCCCCCGCACCCCTCCCGCCGCCGTAAGCCACATCTCTTTCTGGATTTTAGGAAAACTAGACATTTCAACACTTTGAGGCCCATTTTGATCAGCAAAATAACCAACACAAAACTAAAAAAATGTGAAAAAAAAAATCCCCACTAAATAGACTGTAAGAACACTTGTGCAGTGATACTGAAAGAAAAGGGCAAAAGAACACTGCTATAGCTTAGACCTTGAGTGTCCCCCAGAGCTCATGTATTAAAGCTTAGTTTTTGGAGTGGCACTACTGGGAGGTGGTGGAAACTTTAGGAAGTAGGATCTAGTAAGAAGCCCTTAGTTCGCAGAAGGGACATGCCCTCAAAGGTGATTGTGGAACTGTGGTCTCTTCCCTTTTGTTCCTGGCCATGAGGAGAGCAGTTTTGTACACCACATGCTCTTGTGCTTTTACCATAGGCCCTAAGCAATTGACTATGGTCTGGAACTTTTAAAAGTGGAAAACAAAACAAACCTTTCCTCTTTATAAGTTATTTAAGAATTTTGTTATAATGATGGAATGCTAAAACAGTCACTATTCAAACACATTTGGGAACCTGTATGTTGGGTGAGTAAAGTTTTTCAACATACTATATCAAAAAGATACCGTCAAAGCACAGCAAGTGATTTGGGGGCTATAAATAAATTTATCACCTAGTCAAATTTGCAAATATGAAATCCATAAACTCAACTACATTTTGTAATATCATATCCACTGATTAAAAATTTATGCATAATCAAAAAGATTTTCCTTGACATTAGGTTAGTATCCATTCTCAGGTCTTGATCTGTAGCTGTCATACAACCTTGAAGGGTGGGGGAGCTGAAGATAAATTCTATGACTATAAATTTTGAAGAATTATATGAAGAATATAGGAAGAGCAAGAGTCTTTTTTGTACATTGTTTCTTGAAATCTAAACATTTATTTCAAATTACAAACCTCTGTCGATCCTCCTCATCACTGCTTTCATATTCTGATTCTTTACTAGATAATTCCTCATCTTCATCTGGCAAAGGAGGTTCCTCAGGTGGCCGAGGAGATGTAGGTGGAAGAGGTGCATGCAATGGCACGTAGTCTTCATACTAAATAAAAAACAAAAACCCTAAGGCAATCTGTGGTATTCACAGAATAGATGAATCATTTCCATTTACTCGATTCTCATTTCCCTTTACAGCATGAGTCTTCTATACATTCCATACATATTCAGGGAACTATTGTGATAGACTACTAGTTGATCACAAAATTTATTTTTGTCTTCTTTGTCCCTCAATTACACTACAATTTGCAAAGCTTCCTTGTAGCTACATTTCATTGAATCTTAACCAATGAAATAAGAGCAAAACACTTTCCATATAATCCTTTCTTTCCTTCTTGATCTGGGAAGGTACCTGGTGAAGATACGTCAGGATTTTTGAATGACAGTAGAGCAGAAAATCCTTCTGGTCTATTTTTGAATTTTAATTGACATGACTGAGAAATAACTCTTACTGTACTGAAAGACTTTAACTTTTGTTTGCAACACTCAGCCTAATCTTAATAACTTTGCAATAAAAAAATCATTCAAGATGTAGGGGTTGTAATGAAAAATTATGAAATAATACATATAATAGAAAAGCAGTCAACACCAAATCAAATTCTACTTGTATGTTAATATTCAAAATAATCTGAAGAGCTAGATTTGCACAATAAATTCTAATAAAAATACTAGCAATTTTTTTTGGTTTTTTCCAAATGAAGCTCTACTTACAATATAACTAAACAATTGAATTATTGATAATTTAATTAAATGTAATTGACTTAACGGATGACATAATGGTGTAGTCAAAGAACTAAACAACACTGGAAGAAACTTTGGCATCTACTACCAAAGTCATTTGTTTCATATTCTGGCTTTACTACTCTTTCAGAGCTCAGCTTTATTGTGAATATATTTATTTCATATACTATCCATATTTTCAGTGTATATCAAAGGTTACTTCACTTGCATTATTTATCCTCAATAATCCCACTAAGAAATTTTGACTCTTGAAATTTTTTTTTTTTTTTTTTTTTGGTGGTACCGGAGATCGAACTCGGGTCCTTTCGCTAGTGCAGCAGGCAGCGAAACTACTGAGCTAAATCCCCGGCCCAACTCTTGAAAATTTGAAGAGCATTCTTACCATGGGAGGTCGTGCAGTAATTGGTCCAAAAGGCGTGGGCAAATTCATTTTATTCATAAGGTGAAGCACCTTAAAAGTGTAGAACATTTAAAATCACATGGCATAAAATAATGACTCAATTTCCATTTTATATGTAATAAAAACTTGGCCATAACATTATTGATTAGTTTAAAGTACACATCACTTGCCTTTATAATCCTGAGACGAGGGAAAACATAGCACTCTCATATCTCAGAAGGTTAGTTTGCTTACAATGGGTTTTTAAGTCTGCCATTATTCTCATTACTAAGAATGCAGTTCTCTTGCAATGGAAAACCTACTGATAGATTTTCATATTCCTGTTCCTGATTATTGTGAGACTATGTAACTGTACAATAAAACTAAACAGCATCTGTATTTTCAATCCTGTTACTGGCAAAATTTTCAAACATATGCTGAGTCAGGGTCCATTATATCTTTTCTTTTAAAAATCTCTACATTAAAAGTATATTATAAAGAAAAAAAGAGTTGCCACAGATTACATTTCCCAGTCAGCTTCTCTGAACTAGTATCCATTCATAACTACATTTTACAAAAGCCTATACTTGAGAGGAGTATGTAATATTTCACTACCTGTCTGGAATAAGACTAATAAATATCATTATAAATCATTACAAATAAGTCAAGAATCTGCATGGAAAATAAATTACTGATCTATACAAATGCATACTTTGAGCAAAATAAGCTTTATTCTACTTACCTGTACATAGAACTTAGGCACACTTGCCAAAGCGTTCACTATGTTTGCTAGGATTGTGCTTGAAGGTGGTGGGTACATATACTTGAGGCATGAATTTAGAGGAAAAGTCAGCCTAAAAAAATTTTTTAAAATGTTGTTTTAATAATTTCTTATCAATAACTGCTTTTAGGTAATCTGATAACATACAAGACTGTTCAAATGATACACAGTAGGTTCCTAACTTAAGAACAAGTTCCATTTCACAGAGAACATTCCTAACTCTGACAAAGTTGAGTCTTACACATCTTTGGCCCAAATATACAATGTACACTGCTTTGTGCTCCCTAGCAGTGCCCTCCACATCACCACTGTTTTTCCTCTTGCCTCCACACATCCTGGACTCTGACTGAGGACTATATCACTATGCTATCACACTGTACAGTAAGCACACAGCAGCACAACTGTCACAATGTCCAGCAGGCACGTGAGCTACTTCTGCAATTTGTTCACATCTACAAATTTTTGTAATGTGTGGTCTGTTCCTATCTGTGAAAGTTCACAACCTGAATGTTTTAAGTCAGAGATCTAGTGTAGTACTCTTATATTTATCTTTATCCTTAAGAATCCAAATAAATATTTTTAGGAAATTTGCCTTCTGACTGAATTAGAGGAAACATTTCATCAGAGCTTACTTACAGCTCTGAACATTTTAATAGATGCTTTCTTAGAACTAAATTTAGTGATAAGCTTGTAGCCCAAAATGTTTACTATATTACAATTATACATGAAATATATTAAAATATTTTCAATTTAAAACTATCTTTTTATATATCTTCTTAGAGCAACAGAATAAAAACAGGAAAACAAACAAAAGTGCTAACCCATGATTTGGTGCAATTCCATTTTCTACTGTTAAACAGCCAAATTCTTTTTTTTCTTTATCATCCTCTATGGTGTCATCAGACCTAGAACACACAGAATCAAAGGTGATGTTATCTTTGAAAAGGAAAAAAAAATTGCATATAGAAAAGACAAATTATCCTTTCAAATATAACATTATGAAAACAGTTCCACTAAGGAATAAAAAATATTTTTCAAGTGAATTTTCAAGAGTAAAATAAGCATTGTAGAATTAAACATTACTGAATATCTTCTATAGTATTACTAAACCAACACTCCACATTTTCATTACTTTTCACAGAAAGCTTATGAACATGGTATAATAATTCTCACTGACCAAAGAAAAGAAAACTACAATTTATATGGCATATAGAGGTACTCCACTTTCTTTAATGTATATTTTTCTCCATACTCAAAGATGCCTAGGATCTTACCTCTTTCTTCCTCCCCCTTAAGATTCTGATTCAAATAAGAAAGTTACATAACTACAGAATCAGAGCTGGGAACCAAATACTAACATTTGATTTCAAAGGTCATGCCTATTCATGACATCTTACTAACTCTAATAAAAGAACCTAATTCTATAGGCTGGAATCCAAAAAACTCCAAAATATGAACTTCTTGAGATTCAAAATGATGTCACAAGTGGAAAATTCCATACCTGACCTCATGTAATAGGTCACAGACAAAAAAACACAGGCAAACTAAGAACACTGTATAAAACTTGTTTCAAGTTATGTGTATAAGGCATATATGCAACAAAAAAGAATTTTATGTTTAGACCTGGGTACTATCCTTATTGTAACTTCATATATATCTCCAAATACTTCAAAAAATTTTTGGAAATACTTCTGGTCCTAAGCATTTCAGATGTCCACTGATCAACTTTTAGTTACTTTATCCCCACTAAAAGGGGAATGCTTTTTACCTCACTGCCTTCCCACTTTATTAAATCCTTACATTAAATCAACATTCAGGTTCCTAATGCACAATGAGAAGCAAAATAAGATAGTTTTACTGTACTAGATTTAATAGAAAAATACACCATTTCTATTTCAAATTATTTACTTATTAGTCTGAAAACAATCTAATAACTATACAATTTATTTTTTAATAAAAAAAGAACACCTTTTAAAATGACAGGAAAACCTACGTTATCTACATACCTTTTCTTTTTTTCAGTGCCTGAAGTGGGACATGGGGAATGAACTTGATCTTGCTCTTTTGCAAATTCAACAACTAAAGTATGACCTAGAAGTTTCAGCTGATGGAGTCTTGTCAATGCCTTTAGTTAAAAGAGAAATAAAAAATTTGATAATTATACCAAACACATCTGCTAGTTACCATATATAATTTATATATATTTTTATTGCTGTTCTTAATGCTTTCAATATTTCCTTGGATATTTCCTCACCATTTTTATTTATTTACTTATTTTGTAATAAATAACTAAGCCAGTAGTGCTGGGGATCCAACCCAGGGTCACGCACATGCTAACCAAGTGATCTACCACTGAGCCACATCCCCAACCCTCCTGTTCCTTTCTTTTTCAGGCTATCAAATCTTTATTACTTATCAAAGGACTACTATTAGTATAACTTAACAAAATGAAAATGTGGTCAACTCTAACTCTCTGCCACCTTTACTTATAACTCAGAAATCTGAAAATGCCAGAAAACAAACAACAAATTTGCCTCATCTCATATGAAATTCATAACCACAAAACTCTTAGTGGCTAATGATGTCATACAATATATCACAATCATAGTCCAATTTTTCCTACTTTCTAAGAGAATATTTTACACTTTCTGCTTGATTCTTAACTTCACATTCTCTTGCCCTAGCAGCCTTGCTTTCTGAGACAACTGAAGGAACCAGGCAAAGATTATAGACTCCCACCGTAACTCTCTATCCACCAGCATCTGCATCTACAAATTCTGCTACATACATGTTATCACAAATTAATTTTTAATCCAAATCCAGTTGTTTGTCTTATATACTAAATTCTAGTCTCTCATCTACTCTTCTTTACCTACTCTGGAGATGGGTGTTCTTACATAAACTACTAACTTTTTGTCCTCTATTGGATCACATTTAGCAGTATTCTTCCCATCTTGAACTTATTTCTTCTTTTATGTCACCACTATCCATTTTGATTCTTGCAGTAAAACTGCTTAAAAGTTATCTATATCTTCTACTTTAACTCCTTTCCTTCCATTTCAGTCAGATTTATACTTTAATCAACAGACACTGTCACAGATAACTACAAATTCTGTACTGCCAAACTAACAGTCAACCCTTAATCTTCATTAAACTACATTTAACATAGTCGATACTTTTCCTTGATACATGTAATTCATTTGGTTTCAAGGCCTAATTTTTTCTCAAAGTTTTCATCCTAGCTTTCTGATTTTTACTCCCCAATCTCTGGCTTATGCATTTTCTCAATCATGTATGTTGGAATGCTCCAGAGAGCTCCATTCTTGGTCTTCCTTTCTATCTAAATATTTACTTGGTGGTCACTTATGATTTGGATCAAAAATGTCTCCAAAAGTCATATGTGCTCAGAGGTGTTTTCTGAAGATGAATCCACTGATGAGTTCATAGCTCAATGTACTGTTAGAAGGTGGGGTCTGTTTGGAGGAAGAAGGTCACGGGGTAGGGGTAACCTAAAAGGGTATATTCTCATCCCTGCCCCTTTCCCTCACTCTCTGCTTCCTGGAGTAAGTAGCTTTTCTCCACCTTCCTCTTCTACCATGATGTTCCTGCCTCCCCACAAGCCTAAAGGCAGTAAGAGCCAGGTGACCATGGCCTGGAAACTCTGAAACCCTGAGCCAAAATAAATCTTTCCTCTTTGATGGTGTCTATGCCAGGTATTTTTGTCCCAGCAATAGAAAAGTGAATAACACATGAACTAATCCAGGATGTTGAATTTGCATACTATCTCTATACTAATGATTTTTGAATTTATTTCTTAATTTTAAAAAATATTCTTGTAGTATTGGAGATTAAATCTATTTTAGGGCAGAGTTCCTATTAAGTCACTAAATTGCAGGGTCTGGGCCCAAACTCATGAACCTCAGAATGCTGGGATTACAGCATGTACCACCATGCCTAGCTGACTTTTCAATTTATAAATTAAGCCCAAAACTCTGCCCTGAAGTCCAGGAATGAAATATTTAAATAATGCATAACTCTCTCAGGTATCAAATGAAAATATCCAATTCAATACTTCAGAAATTGAACCACTTATATCTCTCTCATCCTCAAATGAACTCTATACAGAGCCCTCCTCCATTTCAGTTAATGGTAATTCCAGTCTCCTAATTAGTTCAAAACTTTTGGAATCATCCTTAACACTTCTTCCCACATTTCATATACAAACCATAGAAAAATTTAGTTTGTTTCTACCTCTAAAATATACTTAGAATCTACTCATTGCTTACCACTTCCACCTTAACCAATGTGGTCCAAGCAATTATCAACTTCGGACTAAAATATCACAATTATCTTTCACAAGATTTTTAGCATTTCTACTCTTCCCTTTTTTCAGTCTCTTCTCAACATAACAAACAAAAGTCATCCTTTAAAATAAAAGTCAGATCCTGCTTAGAATATTCTAGTGGCTCATTTTTCTTAAGAGTAAAATCAATGTCCTTATTATAACCTATACAATGAGGACCCTACTACTCCCTCTGACTTCAAATCCCATGATTTCCATTTCATTTTGTCTGCCCCAGTTAAATGACTTCCTTGAAAATAAACAGGCATGGGCTGCCGCCTGCCCACTGTCTGCATGCAGCCTGCTTGCCCAGACTTCACCAAAACGCCATCCCAAATGGAACACAGGATGGAAACCATGATGTCTATGTTTCACAGATTTGCTGGGGACTAAGGCTACTTAATGAAGGAGGACCTGATAGTACTCATGCAAAAGGAGTTCTCTGGGTTTTTGGAAAAATCAAAAAGACCCTTTGGCTGTGGACAAAATCATGAAGGTCCTGGACCAGTGCCAAGATGGTAAAGTGGGCTTCCAGAGCTTCTTTTCACAAACTGCAGGCCTCACCATTGCGTGCAATGATTATTTTGTAGTATAAATGAAGCAGAAGGGAAAGAAGGAGGCAGACTTGAACATTTATTTACTCCTGCCCTGATGAGAGTTCTCCCAAAGGGCCACTTAAGGAATCTGCCCCTCACTTTCCCCTTGTATAATGATTTCATGAGCAGATCAGGACCCTTAGAAAATGTACAAATAACATCCAACTCTCACTGGACAAACAGAGAAAGGAAAGTTAGTTAAATGCTAGATAAGCTTTTGATTTTTATATTGTTTGGATACTCTTGTCCTCAATAAATAGTGTTTTTTCAGTTCAGGAAAAAAAAAGAAAAAAGAAAATAACAGCCATGTTCACATTCTAGAATTTCTTTGCTCTACTTGCTTCTCTTATTGAAATGAATTTCTCCCAGGGACTTCCTTCACCTTCTTCAAGTCATTGGAAAAATATGGCCCTAAGTACAACCTGACCCCTCATTATCCCCAACCAGTACGCCTTATTTTATTTCTCTATTTTTCTTTTTATTAGAACATTATCTTCTAAAATAGTTAACAATTTAGTTTACTACTTACATTCTGAAAAAGGAAGACAGATTATATCAATGACAGCATCTTCATTTTGTTTACTGACAAATCCCAACACCTAAACAGCACCTTACACATAGCACACATTAATTTTTTTTTTTTTTGGTACTGGGGATCAAACTTGGGTCCTTGCGCTTGTGAGGCAGGTGGCAGAACCATTGAGCTAAATCCCCGGCCAACTTTAATATTTTTTGAACACATGGAATTGCAGATCTTAACTGAGGTACAATTTTAGGCTACCATTTGCATGCATCCTTATTTGTCTCCTTAGTTTATCATACAAAGTAAGTTTTAAAATGCTTCAATAACTTAAGACCCTAAATTAATTCTAGACTTTTAAATTATCAGTGAATCCCTGATTCCTAAAATGAAGGCCATCTAAGCTGAATTGCTTCCTTTCAAAATAAATGTCACATATTTAAGGATGTATGACTTTTCACTTTTAATGTTAATTAATTACCTTTTCTCAGGTACCTACTCTTATTCTTAACATTTCTTCCTTTAGTTTCTCATCAGTTCTCAGTAAGGTCAAGTACACTCTAGCTTAAAAGCCTAAAACCACTTGCCAGTACCCTCTTATTCAAATACCTGGCTCTATATCCTGTCCTCCAAGTTAATCTTGATCTTAAAACTAGGTATTTTCCATTATCATACTTTATGTATAATTTATGATGATACAGACACAGTTCATTAGTTAAGGACTTTTTACCGTAAAACAATAGAAATGATCCAAATTCCCATCAATAATAGAGAAAGGATACTGTAGCCTGTAGTATAGGGTGAACATCCCTAATCTGAAAGGCTCCAAAATCTAAAAAAGGCTACATATTTTAAATAATCTTATTTTCTGGGAAGAAAAATTCCCTATATATTGCAAAAGTATTTCAAAGCCTTCTGTAATCTTACTCTAAGACATATTGAAACAATTTTATTTATACTGCAAACAAATTAATGTGATATATAGTTCTGCCATCCTTTTCTCTGTGCATGTATGAGCATATATATCATTAATTGCAACTGTTTTATAACATGTACTCTATATGGTCTATAATTCTCTATTAATGCATACCATTTGACATCATGCTCAGACAGTTGCAATCCAGAATATGGATACAAAAGTTGAGTATCCCTTCTCTGTAATACATAGGACCAGAATTCAGAGTTTGGATTTCTTCAGATTTTAGAAAATGTGCCTATACATAATAAGATATCTTGGGGTTGGGACTTAAGTCTAAACATAAAATTCATTTATGTTTTATATATGCCTTACAACCATAGCCTGAAAGTAATTTTATGCAATGCTTTTACTGTGCCACCATTTTAACGGTAAGCTGTTTGTTACATAAGGACAGGTATGGAATTTACCACTTGTGCAAAACCTGTGGAAGTAAAAAATTTCAGATTTTGGGATGTTTCAAATTGAGGATGCTCAAACTATGGTACAAAGTAAGGTATCCCTCCTCCCTTATTGATAAGAATCTGGGTCATTTCAAATTGGTTCATGGCAAAAACTTCTTAACTAATAAACTACATTCATTATTCAGTATGTGTCATCACAGGATAAAGTGTGATCACAGGTTAAAATACTCTTCTTTTGACATCTGTGACAATTTCTTTTATAGTTCTCAAACTTAAATGCTTCCTTCCAGTTTTCCTTTGGACCTTCATACCATTCACATGAAGAAATTTTCTATTCTTGACCTTGTCTCAATTATCAAAAATGTTTTCAAAAGCAGCCCAATGATTCTTCAAAATTGAGATGCCATATGAATTCAATACTTACCTTTGCAAATATCTTCCTACTCTAGTTCATGAAAACCATTCAATCCAAAAATAAACTAGCCCCTTTCTCAACCTCTATATTCCAAGACCTACACACTCAAATTCTATCAACTTTATATGTACTTCTGTCTTCTTGCTGCCTTTCTCAGATACATATTCTTGCTTTGGCTACTAAACAATTTTCCTTTGGGTTTTCCTACTTCTATTTCTCCATATTCAATCAATGATATAAAGTCAAGCAGTTATTCTTCACAGGTTGTAGTGTTAGCCAGCTTAAAGGATCAAATAACTTTAAAATACTTACTAAACAAAATTCAGTATCTTTCTCCCACTTAAATTTAGACTGTTTATATCTTTCAATTCCTATTTCCTTTAGCTCCTGCCCTACTTACAAACTTCCATGGTCCAAAGCTTTATTTAGTTTTCCCTAAAACCAGATGCTTCTCCTCTTTTCTTCTCAAAATCCAACTAATCATTAGATGTCTAGTTCAAAGGTTATCTCTTTTTCAAATTATTCCCTGGGTTTATGCCTTTCGATATATCTTGCCTTATAACAGCTAATGGAGATAGGTTATCAATCTTAAATCCTTTAAAATGTTTTATTTTTAATTACATATGATATTAATTTTAACTTGCTTTACAGTTAATCTACTATTCTTCTGTGCTACTATCAAAACCTTGGATAAGCTCTCCCAAGTGAAAAACCAAATGGAGCCTGTTAGACAATCTCTTTGGGAAAAAAAAATGCTTTAAAAATAAATGACTTTTTTTTTTTTTTTTTTTGGTACCAGGGATCGAACTCAGGTCCTTGCGCTTGCGTAGCAGGCGGCGAAACCACTGAGCTAAAACCCCGGCCCCCAAATAAATGACTTTTAGCGCAAGGTCCCGAGCTTGATCCCCATACCAAAAAAAAAAAAAAAAAAATTTAGCTGAGTGTGTTAGTATATGCCTACAATCCCTGCACTCTGAGAAGCTGAGGAGAAAGGACCATAAGTTTCAGCTCAGCCTGGCCAATTTAGTGAATGAACAAAACCCTGTCTAAAAATAAATAAATGAATAAATAAAATAAAAAGGGCTGGGAATTTAGCTCTGGATTCAACACCAAGTACCTCAAATAAAGTTAAATTAAATTAAAAATTAGATTAAATCTTAAAATTACAGTTTAATATTACCTGCCACTTTTATATTGGAGATTAAGAAATTCCTGATAGGTTTAATGATAAAGAAAAACCCATTACCTTTATCGCTGCTTTTTCATTGGGGAAAGTAGCAAAAGCTGTATGTTTCTGAAACAATCAAAACAGAAATTAATGCCAAAATAATTTCAGTTTCTCATAAAAAAAATTCTGTCAATTTACCAGTGGAGTGATTTGACACATTAGCAAAATTATGGGAATAGGTAGAAAACTGAGACTTTTAACTGATTATTAATTTCATTTGAGTGGTTTTGAACCTTTTTTGGGGTCAGACTTAAAATGAAAGCTATGTAGCCTTTTCATAGGTGTATAAACACAAACACAACATGTTTATATATACAAAACGTTCAACAGATCAGAAGTTAAAAAGTCCAACTATATACAAAAGATCATTATTAAAAATCCAAAAATATAAAATATCCCACAGGTATAACATGATGAAATAGCTTAAACTTTATGCAGTCCAACGCTAAATATAAAAATGTTCATCAACAGAGAAATCATTCCTTCAGAGGTATGTTTCCTTTAGACTTTATTTTTCTAATAAATTTCCAATAGGAATAGTGTATTTTTAAACTAAATTTTTGAAAGCTTTAAAGCAATCCAAAAAAAGCTAAAAGAAAAATAAATGAATCATTACATTACGTATGGATAAATTTTGGCCAATGTTTATAAAGGTTTGAATAAATATAACCCAAATTTTTAATTTGTCTAACCTGATCCAAGATGATCTGAGTATATTTAAAATGAATCAAAAAAGCGTATCTTTATTTGTATTTATTGGGATACGCGACAATTAAGATGCCCAGAATTGGTCTTTTTGCTAATTTAGCGATTACAACCCGAGCGGAACGTAATCTCCGCTAAAGTCTTGCCCCATCACAGACCGTTTGCAGAAACATCGCCGCTAAAACCATCAAAGTCTTCCGTAATAAAAAATAAACTAAATTTCTGTGCAAAAACTTTTCAACGGTATTAAAACAATGTTCCCTAACGGATTTCGTCTGGACCTGTTTATAAAATAAAAAATAAGTCTCTTAGCCAAAAATGTAGCACATATTTTTCTACTCAGTTTACTCCAACTATTTACTACTGTTTCCTCTTGGATGAATGTTCTGAATAAGCTTCTAAGGATTTTCAAACACTGTTACATATCTGTATAAGTACTGTGGATCTAATCTAAATACACCCAAATCCAACCATGTCCTTCGGTAAATGTCAACAAGCTATTTGCCATTCTCCAGCTTTGCTTTTCTCCTTCCGCCCCTTTCCGCAGCGCTTCGCTCTGCACACAAGGTTATTTGACAGAAAGAGGAAGGACCGGGAAGCTGCTAGCACAAGGGCGCCCCTTCCCTCCCGCCGTCTCCTCCCTTCCTCCAGTGCTCCCCAGGGCCTCCCGGAGACTCCGCAGGCTTGTGCCCTTACCAGTCTCCCCTTGTCTGACAGGACGCGCACGGACTGCGCCCCGAAATACTTCAGCAAGTCCTCTTTCTCCTCTGGGCTCAGCTCTGCCGGCAGATGTCTGACTAGAAGGGTTCGGTCCCCTCGGGGGGGAGAAAGCGAAGTGGAGCTCGGGCATCTTCTAGACAGCGGCAGCGGCTGCTCGGGGGCCGCCATTTTCCTTAGAGACGCTGCCTCAGAAAAGCACGGAAGGTGTCCAGTCTAAACTGCTGGATCCTGAAGCTGAGTTGAAGTACTCGACTGTATTTTTCCGTCTCGCGCTACGGATTCTGGGAACAAGGAAATGCCGCGAGAGAAAGTCCCATCGTGAGAAGGCTGCCCTGAGTAGCGGCACCTCCGCGGAGAGGCACCTCCGCGGAGCCTCCACAGACAGAAAGGTGAGGTGCAGCGGCAGGATAAGCGGAATGGTTAAAATTCCACGTAGCTGACGAAAGTATTAAAAACAAAAATTAGCCCAGAGAGACGCGAGGATTAAAACAAAAGTTGTGAGTAAAGGGCACAAGGACCCTTAGCCACGTGAAGGAAAGGCCCTACGCCCGATGCGAGGACTCACTACTGCGCATGCGCGGGTGCCGTGTAGCGTTGTTGCTCTCCGGCGCTTTATTCTCCCCTGGCGGAAGTGAGTAAACCTGACTGACGGGTTTTAAGGAGCTCTGGAAATAAGGTCAGGTTGTTACAGATTTGTCTTGGTAAAACCCAAAGGTCAACTTTACGTGATGACGGACGTCTGTAAACCCAGCATTATTGAGAGGCTAAGGCAGGAAAATCACAAATTCGAGCTCAGGGTGAGCGACTCAGCGAGATTTTTCTCAAAAATACTAAGGCTGCTACTGGGGTTAGGGAAGGTAGGAGGGCAATCAGTTCTCCTTAGTCAGTTCTGTAGGGAAGAAAACAGTATAAGGAGCAAAAAGGAGAGGTCGTTTTGATTCTTTTAATCAGCAAATAACAGCATGATAGGTCCCTGCCAAATTATGGCAGCCTGTAGTAGAGAATCCCATACACCCGACATGCACACACATGCACAAACGTAGTGTGGCAGTCCTCGTGCTTTACAATTGACACTGATGTGCAAAGAAATTCAGTCACATAACTAGTTCATGGAAGAAGTAGGATTTGAGCCCAGGGATTCTGACTTAAGGGCTATCTTCTCATCCACTGTATTGCTTAGATTCTGAATGCGTTGAGGAAGAGATAAGGTCGAGAGGGTCAGAAATTTAAAATTTATGCATTAGTCCAGGTGCAACTAAGATGCGGTTGTTGATGTTCCGTGAACCAGAGTGCCTCTTAGTAATTTTTTATTTATTACTTAGATAGGTTTGAGAAATGTAGTTTTTAACAGTACCTCAGAGTTCTGCTCTTATTCCGCATTGGTTGGGAAGGAAAAAACTACAAAATACTGGGTAACCAGAGATAGGTCATGTGAATCTTTCAGGTTTGTTAGGGATTAGATTATCTGAAAAATAATTAGAAACTGGCATTTTTTTATATTAATGTGTGTTTGGAGGAGATTGATTAAATTTTAGGTGTGAATAGTTCTGTTGGATTTCAGTGTGAAAAAACAAAGAAGAAGCAGGAAAACAAGTTAGTTGGGTTATTGTAGAAGCCCAGGCAAAACAAAACAAAAACACTGCCTGAAGTAGTTTGATAAAAATAGACATGAAGAGAAGGAGCTGGGATTGAGTTATTTTTGGAAGTAGAATCTGAGAATGGCAATAATCAAGGCTAAATTCTGGGTTTTTGGCTTGAGCCCCAAAATGTCCACCATCTTTATAGATGATGATGCCATTGGTTGAGCACAAAACAAAGCGTAGCTGGTTAGGGATTGTTGTGTTTGGTGTATTAAGTTTAAATATGTTCAACATCCCTGTTTCAAGTTGAATTCATAAGTGGCATTCTGGAGAAAGGTCAACACTGGAGAATATCTCTCTCTCTCTCTATATATATACACTACACATATAACCAGTGAATAAGTGATACTAGAGAGAGAGAGAAGGGAACTCATTATTGATATGGGCATAATGTTGAGAGATTGAGCAACAGAGGAAAAGCAATTTCTGCTCTCAGTTCCTAGATTTTAAATGAGTCCTGCTTTGGAAAAAATAAATTATACATAGAAAATAGTGAGGTAAACGGAACTGGAGGAGGCGTGTTATTTTAAACACTATGCTTTACAGACTTAACTGTATTCTTTGAAGGCTTATTTGGAGATTCCAGCAGGGGAGCATAGTTGCTTTTATACCCTTGATCCTGGATCTGTGAGAGAGGATTAATATACTTCCTAACAAGCCAAGTGGGCTCTGGTGATCACTGGAGTGAAATATACCACATACAGATCACCTGACATCCTCAGTTTCCCTTACGTTTAAAAAAAATGCTCAGCATATTGTAGATATTGTATAGATTTCTCTTCAATTGAATGAAAGTATGAAAGGGTTCACTTTTATGTTCACCACCGTTTCCTATGGTTAAGAATTGCTACAGGAAACATCAAGTAGAGTTTAATGTCGTTATCTGTTGTAACTGGGGTATCACAACTGACGTAGGTAGGATTATTTTATCCTTACTGTTTTTGCACTTTATTAAATTCTTTTATTGGTGCATTGCAGGTATACAACACAATTATATTTCTCATTGGGAATTGTACCTTTACATAATGCATCTTGGTTCTTACTTTTTCCCCATGCCTAGCCCTCCCTTCACACCCTCCACCCTTTCCTATTTACAAAGACTTTATTTCCATTTTTTCCATTTCTCAGCATTTTTCCTTTCCCTTCTTTCCTTT